ACAGGCAGGGCAAAACAACAGTTTCACATTAATATTTTACTTTAATATTTATCTCCCTATACATATTTACCTTCCTTTTGCTCACCCACCACTCTATACAGCCCTTGGGAGCAAGGGAAATAAGCTTTAAGCCTTTGTAGTCAGAGCTTACACAAGGCAGAGGACCCCTGCCATGTCCATGTGATATCATTGGGCGCCATTCATCAAACACCAGTGCTGTTACATCAGAGGAAGGGGAGTGAGACACATAGTCCTCCATACTGAAAATGTGAGTAGGTGCTGCTGGGCAAGTGTATATTAAAGCAAACTGATTGGCCCTGCCATTTAAGCAGATGTGGGTGTCCTGAAGCCAAGACCTCATTATATTTAAAAAACAAGAAAAAACGCACAATGCACATTACAAAATGATTACAATATTAAATGTTCATAAAAGCATTCATAAAAGTATTAAAGCATTTGATATGGTGTGTAACATAACATTCACTCCTGTACTTATATGTTTAAAAGTCAGTTTTGAAGTGTTAAACAAAATGAATAGTCTGGCAAAAATTAGATGTTAGCAATCAATTCAACTTTGGAAAATTGTTTTGGGTTTTATTATGAGATTATTAGACACATTTGATTGAAAGGTCTGGTATTGGCTTATTTTGTAATTGGATGACCTTCTTCTGATGTCTGTTCTGACTCTGTGATGTTTGATATGCTCTGTCAGAACTGTCCTTCAGCACTTCAAAGAGTTCTTTTGTAAATTTGCTCACTGTATGTCTGATTTCAAGCCTGTTCATTCTCAGCTGTATCTTTGATGTTGTCTTTGTTTATAAAATGCTGTTTTTGATTAGCCTTTAACTATATGTTTCTCCTTTTCAGCTTGCTGTGGTAAGTATATGTTGTTTTCTTCTCCTGCATTTATGTTTTATCTTTTTGGCTTACACTGATGCATGTTCTTAATTGTTTATTTCCCACATCTCACTTCTTTACCCATGGGTCTTTCACATTTCCTGATTCCTGAGGCATGACCATGTCTATCTAATACATCCATACAGGATGCCTTTACTGATATACACTCTCACATAACTGGTGTCCTTCCAGTATCCAGAACCATAACCACCTATCTTCCTTGCTTTTTCTTTGCTAGTTCATTCAATTTACCCACTGTAGTGTGGTTGTTTAATGAGTATAGCCCTAACTTCTTCACTCACGTCTGGTAGCGGACATCTACAGTATATATGACATTTGAGCCTTATCTGAAATCAACTAAATAGATATCTGTTGAGGCACCTTCTCTACCAACCATGTTTGATTTCAGACTACACATAGAGAATAGCTCTCCCGTGGATGTTTCTTTCATATTTAACCTGACTAGATACTATCCTATGTGACTTTATTCTCCATAATATCATAGCTTATTGGCATAAATAAAGCATAGCCTTGTACTGTCATCATTGGCAGCAGATGCAAGAAACACAATGGGATTGATTTACTAAAGGCAATTAGACTGTTCACTCTGCATGATTTTCACTTCGGAGGGGATTTTTACCTTAGCTTAGTGAATGCGGTAAAAATTCACCATGCAAATAATACCCAATTACATGCACTGAAAAAAAATATATGATTGGATGATGGATGTCAGCAGAGCTTCACCTCATTCACTAAGCTAAGGGTTAACTCCTTTGCAAAGTGAAGATTTCCAGGCAAAGTGAATGGCCTATTTGCCTGTAGTAAAACAACATTTTTACCTCTTTACAAACAGTTTTCACACTATTCATGGTGACCAATTTTGTTTTATAGACTGCACATGTGGTCCTGTTGATGTCCTTTTCGTGGTTGACAGTTCTGAAAGTATTGGTAACTCCAATTTCCAGATAGCAAAAGAATTTATAATAAAGGTTATTGACCGGCTAAGCAGGGATGAACATGTCAAGGTGAGAATAATCACAAATGTTACCTTTGACTTTTGGCGATTTCTATCCATATTCTTATCATCAAAATACACTTTCGGGCATTCAATTCCGCAACATTTACCTTAAAATCACTATTACAAAGATGCAAAGAACAGTAATTTGCAAAGCTATATTTACAGTTTAGAGGATAGCTACCATACTGTTTGATTCTGATTGCAGTTTGATTCTGGAGAATCCCGAGTTGGAGTGGTGCAGTACAGTCATGGAGACACCCAGGAAACCGTAGCCATGGGAGATGTCAATATCACGACTATTGGTCACCTGAAGGAGTGAGTAACATTCTTTCATATTCAGTCAACTAGGAACAAATGTAGAGTACATTCAATAAAACCAGAAGAAGATTTAAAGAAAAAGTATTCAACTCAAAGTAAAAATCAAATGAATCGCTTATAAATGAGAAGGCCATGTTAGCTGTGCAGCTAGATAGAACTTCACATCAAAAGTTGTATTGTTTAATAAAATAAAACATAATTCATATGCTGAATTTAATCATGATTGTATTCCCTAAAGTTAACTTGTACTTTGCCCATGCAGAGTAAAGCAACAGGATTACTTTAATACTGTCCTCACCAACTGAACATATTTACTTTGACTTTACAACCACTCCATTCGTTCAGTGGGGGTGAAAAATAACTTTTTATAAAATTGCAAAATTGCATTTTGTGCTTTGTTATCTGGACAGATTAGATGGTATTGGTGCTGTCATAGGAATAATAATAGGATAAGTATTACTTATTACATTTTATAGTATAGTATATTTTATAGTATAGTAGAGTAACATATTAGGATTAAAAATGGTATTTCATATGGTTAGATTTATGCATGATTTCTTTTTGTAGGGCTATTAAGAAATTGACCTGGATAGCGGGAGGCACTTGGACTGGAGAGGCACTTGCTTTTACGAAAGATAACCTACTCAAAAGATTTGCATCAGACAAGAGAGTAGCACTTGTTTTGACAGATGGTCACTCTGATATCCTGAGGGACAAGACACCGCTAAACACATTGTGCGAGGTTGCACCGGTGAGTGAATATCTCTGGTCTTTACATTTCTGACCATGCATTATTATGTTATACCTCACAATTCTTGTCTCTTGGATAGGTTGTGTCTTTGGGAGTTGGAGACATCTTCAATTCTCCTGCAAACCCTGATCAGCTGGGTGAGATTGCATGTGGAGGCTCACAATACACACAAGGACTATCTCTACAGAGATCCAGCTATATGGAGCTCCTTGATGATGGCTTCCTGCAAAATGTGACTGGTCATATTTGTAAAGGTAATTTTTTCTAAGGTCTATAGTAAGGTTTGGGTGATTAAATATGCTTTTAATTGCTTAAACGTGTATTTGATGCCCTTTTGTATTTCTTGCTCTGATGTAAGATACTGAAACCAGTAATATGAAGCACATGTTACTTTTTTCCTTGCAGATAAGAAGTGCCCTGATTACACATGTGCCAGTAAGTACACTGATGGTTCCATCTATTGTGCAAAATTGTAAAAAAATAGGATATATGTATGATATACTACTATAAAGAATTAATTTGTCAGGCTCTGATCTTTATTAAAGGTTAAGTGTATTCAAATTATATATTTCCACAGTGTGTAGTCACTGGTGGCTTTACGCACTTACTGTCTTCTAATTCCCTTTTTCCACTTTCTCTACTTATTGACCAGCATTTTCCCCATCCACACTACTCTGCAATTCTTAAAGTGGAAGTAAAGGGGAAATAATGCTGGAGGTAGGGATTTTCGGCAGAAGAGAAATGCAAAGCCTCTTCTTCCAAAACAAATTCTTCCTTGCCCCCAGCAATGTTGTACTTTCTGTGTACGGCACATGTGCCTCGCAATGGACGCACTCAGCCCATTTACGGCTTTTCTAAGAGGCTGTGAATATAAGTTCTGAGTTCATGCCATGAAGTTATATAATCATAGGCCAACTAATGGGTTGATCTGACAGCACTGGAGAAGATTACACTTATAAGTTAGGTGTGCTCTAATGTGCCAGTATACTGTGCATACTGGCACATCAGGACCAAAACCCACCCTTCACATAGCGGTTTACTACCGCTTTAACGAACCAAGCAGGGGTATTTTACCTTCTTAATGTAAAAATAGAAAATGGAAATGGAAATCTAGCAGCAAGAGTCAAACACCTTTGTAATGTCCACAGCAAGTGAGTATAGTACCCAAAAAGTATCAGAGGATGATTACACTCCCCTTCCCTCAGTTTTCACATAACTTCCTATATCTATTTTGATTGTGTAAAACCTTTTAAAACATATTCAGTAAGCAACTCTTTTATGTGCATAGACCATGCTTTGGCTTCAGTGGGTAGCACTTCCAAAGGTATAAAATGTGGCATGGCAGACTAATAAATGGTCCAGTCTATTGTTTTTAGTGTTCCTTTAAAGCCAACACATTTCTGTGTTTTCTAAGACCCATTTTATCAAGGCTTGAGCAACACTGACAGTAGTGAAATATGAATAGATAAAAATTGGGAATTTCTAACAGATTCAGTTAAGCATAATAAGCAACAGTTTAACAGCAACAGCAAAAATGCTGCTCCAGTTGGGCAAAGAAACTGGAAAACCAGTCCTTCACAATCTGGAAAAGGTTATCAGAGAAAAGCTATAAGTTACCATATGGGAAAAAAAGTTACCGTTTGTTTATTTTGAGAATATACTGATATCTGAAATTATGTACATGAATGGCAAGCTGTCATTTTTTTCTCCTCTCCAGTATCATTTGATTCTCCTGCTGACATCACTCTACTTGTGGATAGCTCTGCAAGTGTTGGAAGCCGAAACTTTGAAATAAGCAAAGGCTTTGTGAAGCGACTTGCACAGCGTTTCCTGGAGGCTAAAAGTGCAGCAGACTCTGTGCGTATATCTGTGGTTCAGTACAGTGGCCGTACTGAGCAGAGTGTTGAGCTGCAATTCGTTTCCAACTACACAGAAGCAGTGAATTCAATAGACGGAATGAAGTTTAAAAATGGAGGCACAGATGTGGGAGCAGCATTGCGTGCAGTCACGGAACTGTACCGTGAAGCTGCTGAACCTGGAGCAACCAAGAAGCTGCTTGTTTTCTCTGATGGAAACACACAAGCAGAGGGTACACTTCTGCAGGTTGTACAAGACGCCCGGGCAGCTGGCATTGAGATTTCAGTTCTGGCAATAGGAAACCGACCCCATGAGGACAATCTAAGAATACTGCTAACAGGTGCTAAACCTGATTCCAAGATTGCCATAAATGAGAGGAGCCTCTTCCGTGTTCCTGATTATCCTTCTCTACAAAGAGGTGTCTTGTTCAAGACCGTGAGCCGTCGAGTGTCTCTCAAACCCCAGTAAACCACCAGCTCCCCTACAGCTGACAAAACAGGCCTCAGCCACATGCACTGTGGTCTCAGAATATAATGAAGGGATATGACTTACCCTTCAGATTGTTATTTTGTCTAGTCCATCAAAGCCCCTTTCATACCTTTTACTGGATTTTAAATTACCTGACTGGTGCATTCAACTCAACCTTTTATAAGAAATTTCCATATTTTTAATACATTTCATCTATCTGGTCTTGAATATCTCAGGGTCCCTGAATGTTTGAAGAACAGTGTCATCATAATATTGGTTTCAGCAGGTTTAATCTGCCAATTGGAAAACTCAACTTTTAAAGGGTGTGAGAGGTACCAATAAATTGTGTGTATAAATGTTGTTACCTGTATGTATACTGTAAATTCAGATATACATACGGCCACAAATGTAATAAGAGGTTTATTGGCACTCTGAATTTTGCCCTAGTAAATTTTCCCACAAATGTTGTTCTGTGCAGATTCACCAAGAGATAGCCTACACATTCTGTATGCTTTAGACTACAAATTATGGAAACCTAACCTTGAACAGGCACTCTGGGATCAATGTCTAGCAAATAACATATAAAAAAAAAATCAAAACATATGCTTACATTAGATCCTGCAAAACTGGCCCTAAGAATAAATTAGGACATGTGGAACATTGCTAGTTTATGTACTACTTACATAGATAGAACCACTGAAACCTGATATTTTATGATCTGCAACTGTATAAACAGCTGAGTATAACTTTAAGTGCACTTATTATGTGCACATGGTGGAGGAAACAGTTTTGTTAAAAAAATATTTTAAAAATGTTTAGTCCATCGATTCACAAACATCTAGTGAGCGATTTGAGGTATTGCAAATTTTGTGTCTGTTTTGTCAGTCACGTCACAGCTTTTTCAAATTTTGGTTTTGCTTACAAAATGGTAACCTGCGCTGTATTTTGATAAGGAAAGACTAGGTAGGTGGGGAGATGCTTAAAAAAATCAGTAGGGTGCCAAGGAGGGACACAGGAAGAGCAGAAGAAGAAAACAGTTGGCAAATTAGGATGCACTTAGATAAGAAATGATTAAAATACAGTGGTCATTAGAAAGTAAAAACAAATGTTTATCTTTTGTTTACTTGGATTTGAAATAATTCCATAAAAGAAGGGTTTGTGCAGGCCAAATGTTCCTCAAAGAACATAAAAGAATTAGAGAAATAAAATCAGTGTTAATTTCTCTACAAATCTCTTGACATTTAGATGTCTGCTGTCTTCTCAGTACAGCACTTGTCAGCTATAAACGGCCCAGTTGTTTAGCTATTTCATGAAGACCTAAAGTTAATCCTTGAGAATTTTGAGAAACTGAACCTAAACAGAAGAGAATTTGCAGAAATAAAAGTTAACAATAATGCAGATATAAGCCACATGTTTAAACTATTAGTTTTCATCAGACTCCAGGGAAACATATAGAGCCCACTGACAGGGACCATCGTGTTTTTATTTTTACTTTTAAAGAAAATTTTGTAATGTACAGTTTTCATAATGCAGTCTTAAAAAACACTTTATTGCACTTCCATTGAAAATGTGTGCACAAAGACTGCCAAGCCTGATCTAGCCATGCTGGAAGGGCAAGGGTGAATCAGTGTTTTGTTATTGGTGCTATTTTCAGGGAGAAGAAGCACATGTGGAGTCTTATGACCAAGTTTGTCTCCGTGTACAGGAGATCCTGTAATGCTGTCATAGCTGGTACAGGAGTGGAAGTAATACCTCCTGCACAATATGGTTGTAAGGCCCCCTTCTTTTTCAACCTATGCTCACTCTGGTCTCTGAATAAAGGGTTTTACCACCTACGAGTCTGTGTTGTTAATGGGTTTGTTTCAAATATGCATGGATTTCATTAAAATAGCAGCTTGAACACCATCTTGATTTCATTACTCCCTTCCCTCTTATTCCTTTTTATCTATATTTTGATTCTTCAGACACTGCATTTATAGCCACTCATATGTTAACAATACTGAATACTGAATGGGAAAAATGTAGCTCCTGCTATAAAATATAATGATTCAACAAATGAATTATCTGGCTATATAAACTTTAAGGCTAAATCCAGAAAGCTTTTACACAGGTCATTGAACAGTGGGTGTCCTACCTTTTACTTTGAGGCATGGGTACATTATTACATATAGCACTCATATTACTCCATATTGTGGTCATTGTGTTTAAATATGTTTAACCGTGACTGATAATGATAAATGCCATTGTAGAATATTTTTAAGGAGCAACTGTAAGTTTGCAGAGAATGGATTGCTGCAAAGCAATGTGTTAGAGCAGACAATCCCAACTTTAGAATTTAGTTATGTTTTAGGGAATGTTTAGATAACTTTAACCCCTCTCTCTTTACGTGTTAATACTCCCACTTGTATTGTTAAAGAATAAATAATACCATGAATATAGTTTCTTAATCCTGTCCCCCAAGGGACAAAGTGCATGTAGCACTCTGTCATGTTTTTGTAGGTACAGTGCATCCAGAGCTAGTGTGGTCAACAATGTTCCGCCCTCCACACCCCACTGTCTGACCACGCTGCTCTGTAGGTAAAAGCACCATCAAAGCACAACTAAACGGAGAGGGCATATCAAATGACTGCCCGTATAACATCAAGAGGCACGCACACAGCAGGAGGGTAAAAAGAAAATTAGCCCAGCCTGAGCTTCACAAGATCAATGTACAGTCGGTAGTCATGCAAGGGGGAGGGGCATGTCAGTACGAGTCTCCTCTTCCGTCTGGAAAATAAACACAGCATATGTGCGGTCGCAGGAGAGGAGACATTAGCAACAATGCCGCTGCTGAAGCTAAACAATAGAAAAGCCCACAAATGGCTTCTGGTAGGGGAGGTGCTGGAGTGCAATAACAGTACAGATATAAAGAAGTGATTTACTAGAGAATCGCAGAGATAAGTAGTAATACTATGCTGTAGTTGAAGCTAAATTGTGGAATAGGTTGGTGTAATAGTGCTTACGTTTGCCCTCTGGTAACTAAGTATTCAATAGGCTAGTCTCCTGGCATCACTTAGGTAGGCAGACAGTATGGAAACACACAGGACTTGAATATGTTTAGAGTCAGCTCTAGACTCTAGACCTGTATTTCTCAACCCTTTTTTAAGGCACAGCACTCTTTAATAGTATGCAAAATCTCAAGGCACCCCAGTCAAAAACCTAAATATAAGAAACAATGTTTGGCCCCTCCAAGATCCATAACAGACCCTTATCCCAGATAGGGGTCTGGTATGGATTTTAATGGGGGACCCTATGCACAAATGGTTCCCCCTTTCACACCAGAGTCCCACATTCAAATCAGAAGCCCCCTTCACATTGGGAGCCCCCCATTCACTGCAGAATTTCCCCTTTTATATCAGAGTCCTCCTTTACATAAGGAGCCCTCCTTACCATTAGGAGCCTCATTCACATCAGGAGCCCTGATGCTGGTGGCCAGCCAGCCTGCTTGCACCATGGATAGGTATAACACTGTCCCACAATTTCAAGGCACCCCTGAGGAAGCCAGACAGCACCCCAGGGTACCACAGCACCCTGGTTAGGAAAGCTGCTCTAGATGTGGAGTGGTAGTAGGGAGACTGTACCTTTACTATGAAAGAAATTATATATGAATTCGGTGGGGGAACATACTTCATACTGATACCTACACATGATGACTAATATACACCGCATCCAAAATACACTTAATCCCTTAAAGTTTTCAAATACAGCATAGATCTCTTCTTAATGCCTCTTTAAGAACATCATGTATTTTACTACATTACTAATACATTTTGACTTAAGTCATGTAAATTAAATGAAAGGTGCTTACCCTAAGTGGCTCCTCCTGATGCTCTACCTTAGGATCCCTGGCAAGCTACATACTTGCCTGTCCCCGATCCACTGAGAGGCTTGCTGTGCAGCCTAATCGCCACTGCAAATCCTTGCTGTTGAGTCTTGCACATGTGTCACAATTTATATTAACTCCAATGGAAACGTTTCACTTTGTCCCAGTAGAAAAAGGAATAAATGTTGGAATGGGAACGAAAAGGTTGAATGCCATCTATTCCTTTAATCTTGCACAATTGCACAAGAATGTACAGCTTACTCTGATTTCACTGCACACTGTGAGCTTCTGGCGGACCCACTTTATTAGAGTTAATTTGCACACACACTTACTATGTTTATTTAGCCAATCCACTGCTGCCTTCAATCATTAATTCATGATTCACCAGTGGTTATAATTACAGGTGTAATTGTGTGGCTTGTGAAAAACTACCCTTAACCACCAATTACCATATTCCCTTTGAAGCATCCACAGCTATAAATTCATACACCTAACAATAAATTCCTCATATATGAATATAATTTAATGTGTATGTAGCGCTAACCCCCGCAGGAGCTGCTGATTATAATGGGTCTTTCTGTCCCCCCTGCACCAATGTACCGCCCAATGGTGGATCCACAGCACATCAACACACCTTAAATGAATTTTTATAAAGAATTTAATGGCTAACCCATGCAGAGTAATACTATTAATGGTTAACCAGTTACATACAATGCAATAACGGACGCTAAGGCACTCTGACAGTCAGTAACCGCGGCTATTATTTGCCTATACGGAAACTGATAATGCCAGACTGTCTCAGTGATAAACCTTGAGACAGAGAAGTTCAGCAATAATATCTCCCCTAGGAAGTGTCACACCCCCTCTAGACTACTGGCCAGTAGTGATGTCCTAGGCTAGCCAACGTTGGGGCCCATACTGTGCAGCTGATGCATAAAGATACATTGTCACATTGGCGCAAAGGCCTCTCTCCACTCCTCGAGTTATCTTGGGAAGAAGATGTCTTTCAGCAGTGGATGGAAGTCCCTCTTCCAGCAGAACGACACTTAAAAGAAAGAAGAAGTAATCTATGGCCTCCTGGAACACTTCCTTGCTCGTCTAAGATCACCAGGAACATGTCACCGCTTGTCTAGGTACATCAGGGTCTCAGATACGATCACCGCTGTCTCCGTTCACTTCCGCTCCCTCAGCTGGGCTGACCGGGTCACTGCAGTGGCTGGATTGGCCGCACGTCCAGGCCGCGATGTCCCTGCCACTGCCCCGTCACAAAGGCCTCAATCCAGGCGTCACTAGGCCTCAAGCCGTAGTGCTGAAAAAAAAATCTTGTTTTCTTGACTGAACGAAAGTCTATCTGAATCTGATTTTCATTTGGGAAACTCCATTCATTTC